TACACTGCTACCAAGTACGGCAGATTTACCGTGCTTTTGCTCAGAGTGTTCATGCTGACAAACGCACAGACGTTCGTATGTACGCTCCACCCAGCGAAATCGAGTGATAATAAAGTTAATAAGCACTGAGTTTCCTTTCTTATTTCTAAAGCGAATCTTGTCAGCTGCAGTCCGAGAATTTAGCTAAAGTCATGTCTTTGTCCAATAAAATTGCCAGTGCGACGAAAGAAGCATACATTCGATTTGCTACAGAACAGTCTAGTCTGCATCGCTGCTGGAAACAACATCTTAACTCTTAGTAGGTTGTGAAAAGTATCAAGAAAAAAAGAGTCAAGATTCCAATCATACTCAATCTCGGTCGTCATGGGTCTCGCTTCGAGTAAATAGTACCCTGCTTGATCCTTCAAGTGGTGCAGGCATCTTAACAATTTTTACACGACAAAAGTTCTCACTCCAAGCTCATCTGTGCAAAAATACATCGTATTATGGCGGATGCGAACCCGTGTCTTGCGACGAGACTGAGCCTGGCGATCCGACAGCTCAATGCTCATCATTTTAAAGATGTGGCTGATATGTTAACACCCATGATAACTTACGTAACTATTTCATTGTTACAAAAGCCTTGCGAGTCGAAAACGCTGCGTATATTTAATACAAAGCGACACGATTTCAATAGGTTTTAGCAGGAAGACATGAAAATGCTGAGCACGTTGTACAAATTGATTTGATGCTGGGAAGGTATAGTAGCTACTGACCACCTCAGTCATTAATTCTCTCATTTAGCTTCCTGACACTCGCTTCTATCGATTATTCAGTTCTGCAAATGGAATTGTCATTTGAGCAAGCACGACGCGAAAACTAGGTCCTGGCTTGTCAGCTCTTCCACTTGTGCGATTCACCACGGCATGAATCGGCGTGTATCCAACATAGACACGCTGTTAAATTCGCGAAGTGTCTATGATCATTGAGTCTCTCCCAGGCAGCCTACAATTAGTAGTCACTCCAGAAATGCACGCACATTGCTACTCTAGACGGCTTAGCGCTCTATCCTAGACAAATGTCCTTTGTGGTCGCCACCGCGTCTTGAAGCATCAACAAGCAGTAAGCGTCTAATGCAGCATAGCTCACCTGCTGTGGTGTCAATGGACGGCGCTCCCAGTCGCTCTTCTGTTGCAGCTTAGAAAGTGGATATCCCAGTGCCTGCTTAACAAAAGTGCTGAGTCCCTTCTGTCTACGGCGATGCTGTATCGAGTTAGACGCTAAAATTTCATTGCTGTGGCTTAAAATGCCCGACTTGTCAACTGAGTGTGTCATTGCCACTGGCACTTCGAACGAGAAATCGAGCACATTAGCAAATGTATTGAAGCATTTGACTTCCGGAAATGACCAGCGCAGCCGCTTTATGTCACCGTGAATCGCGAAACCGAGTTTGACAATGTTTTCCGAGGAAAACAGATGAGCAAAAAGCTCCTCCAGATCACCTAGCGCCATCTCCACGAAATCGAAAAGAAATACGTAGTCGTCGCAAGCGACCTGCAAAATTGAGCATTTCGATGGCATTGTTGCACGATGATCTGGACGCCACTCAGCGTCAAGTCCTAATCTTGTCACACAGTCTCGCATGAGTAGATCACTCGCCAACGTCAATGTCTCGTCACTGTCAACTACAATGATGTGACTCAGTGCAAGTGGAATTTTCAGATACGCTGATTCGTCAGTAGGAGTTGCAGATGCATCTGCATACACCGGTCTCGGTATTGCTGCACGGGCCTGCATTACGTACGGCATAAATTCAAGCTCATTTTCTAGCTTGAATTCCCTGATTGCCTTGTATACAAACTGAAAGGTACATGCATCATCTTCATCTTCCTCTTCAGCAGCAACCTTTTCTAGCTCGATCACTTCTCGTACGAATTGACGACGCATTTCAAGCGCATCGTTTAAATCCGATTTATAGAACATAAGAACATTATTAACTCCGCTGAATACAAACATCTCCGCAAATTTTGGTCCGAGATACGTCGCGGTGTTCGTATTATACAATTCTGGTCGGCGTATCAAGAATCCAATGATCTTATCAACGCTATCATGATCGAGAGCATCTTGACAGAATGCTAACAATTCCATGCGATGTGACCGATGGAGATATACGACATCGTCTAATTCCTTTACAATGTGAACGGACAAGTGTGGCAATTGGCTCACGCAGTACTCAGCATGGCGTTTTTCCATTTGTAGCTCATCAGTTACTACAGTGAGCAATTGTTTGGCTAGCTTGCCTAGAGTTCGGAACGTCAAATCTAAGAATCGTAGCGAAACGACCGATCGGAGTAGAAACAGACACGGATCAGGAGTGGTCACTAGCGCATCTCGAATCGATTGCTCGGCTACATTTTTGGAGTTCTTGTCTCGAGTCATTGTAATAATCTGCATCGCATGCTGAGATAACATTAATGGGGCGCACGATAAGGTCGATCGCAAACACCAGTATCGAAAGCTCGCTAAATCTTGGTCAAAGGTTGTCGTGGGTACAGGATCATCTTGAATTTCCAGAGCCTCACGGTCGTTAAAGACTTGCTCAAAGATGGCACGACGTGCGTACAATGTCTTCATTGCAACCTTACGAGACGATTCGTCAAATGTATCACCGCGACGAGTATACTTGAAATAAAATTCGCGAAGCATGGAATCGTACACGGGCACAGACATCATCAATAAAGTTTTTTGATAATGTTGGAGCATAGCCTGGGCTTCTGTCACCGAGTCGTGCTGAATACAGCATATGAACAATGCAGTTTCCGTGGAAGCTGATCGCTGGAAACCGTGATTTAACATGGCTCGAAGTGTCTCCTCTGCCCCCGTCAGATTATTTTTATATGCACAAGATCTTACCAATTCTTCCAGAAAACTCTGTCGCTTACAATTTACATCCATTCCGCCCACTGGCAGCTCACGCCACAACAAGTTAAATCCCTCAACATGGCGATATCCAAACATGCGTGCAATTTCAACGCCCATGCGCTGAGTGAATACGATCTTGTCTTCATGTGCTAGCGCAATCAACTCAGCAATATGATCGCAGTTGGTCAGCAAATATGCACCACGGACAAATTTCCGATACAGTGGTAGCTCGCGTGTGATTTCCGGAAGAGCACTCATTTCTTGAATCACTTGCCATGCAAGACATTCATCACCACAGCACATGAATGCATCAACGACAGAAACGTATGTTTTCGAATTAGGTCGAAGGTGTGCCTGTGGCGGGATTGGTGCGCAGTTTTTGTTACTAGGTGGCTGCCACCCTTTTGTGGCAAGATCGCACATGGCATCAACAATAACTGAGACATCTTCTTTCCATTTGCGCTTCCTGCATTGATGAATGAGCGTTTCAAAATCATTCCTAGGTACGTGAATGAGACAAATAAAAGGTGAGCCACAACAATATGCAAGTTAAGCCCATCTAGTTCTCACACAGTCACAATGGAGCCATTTTGTATCCGCTCTATCAGTCGGTTAATATCATGTTGAACTACTGCTCTCCGAACAGATTGCGATGTCTGGTATCCTAGACATCCGAGCGATTTTGAATTATCAGTAGAAGGTGCACACTCTTCCACTTGTAGTCCAGCAATCCTATCTCGTTCATCTGTGCTCATCACGTCACTAGACACCCAATCATCAAAAACTGGTCTCGAGCCATTGTAGTCCAGTGACTTGGCAACTTGACCGACAGCATGCAAGAATCTTTTATCGTCACGAAGCATCGGTGAGTGAAAGTTAATTTCCTTCAATACTTGCGTAGCCACGATTCGATCCTTTTGACGCCCACAACTTTCCAAAGCTTCGAGAAATAAAACCTCGTCAAAAGCTCCACTTGCTCGCGCATCGCTTAGAAATTTCAAACACTGGTCCGCTCCAACAGACTCATTGACTCCCACTGCACGAATTAAAGTCGTGTAAGTGACAACGTTCGGCTTGGACATGGACAGCCGCATCTCCTCGTATTTCTACCATATTACACGATCAATCTCAATTCCAACCCGAAAAAGTCAACAAAAAGATTCAATTACTTTGATTGCTGCACGAAGATCTCCACTACGAGCCATGACATCGATAAGCGCTGTATACGTAAACACGTCAGGTTGAAAGCCATATCTTTCCAATAGATCGAATGCTCGTTGGGCTTCCTTCACACTTCCGGCCCGTTGACTGGCCGTGACAATCGTATTTAATGCATAACTTGGCTGTAACATTGGGAGTTTTGGGATGTTACGAGCGCTGTCGCCATGAGTGGAGAGCAGGACTAGCCACTCGACATAAGCAAAAGCGCGCTCAATGACTACGTCGTCACGGCTTCCATCTTTATGCAAACCGACTTTCATCCAGCGAAAAATAGGCCGGAGAAATGCACGCGTTTCCCATGACGAATAGTCGCCGGTTTCTGCCAGCAACTTGCACACCAGCGGCCCCGAGACTGCGTCATCTTCCCAACGATATTCTAGCGTTCCCATTGATTGAAAATAAGGTGGTGCACACTATACCGAATCAAAGATTTCACAATTTTTACAGTAGCAATTTAAAATCACCAATCATCGTCTTCATCTTCTCCATCCGAATTATTACAATTGTTGTCTACATCAGTTTTCAGATTTGACTCAACGTCACATTTGAGCTCTTCCTCGCCATTGTTCAAATTATCTTTGCGAGAAATTGATGCTTGGGATTCAAAACGCACGAGAGCAGTTTTTTTTAAATTCGGTGATGCAGGTGACTCCTTTTTAGAGGTAGATGATGCACATGACCTGAAAGTGACAAACGTCAAATATTGGAAACAAACAATGTTCTGTTTCATGCAACGTACATTTGGTTTGTATTTTGCTTCGTTATCAAGCGAACTAGACGGGAGCTGGCATCCAAAAAACTCTGACGCTCTTGCATACGGCTTCCATCTTCGGATGCTTCTCCGTTTGTCGTCTTTCTAAGCAATTTACTCCACTGCCACTTCCCCAAGCCAGTCTCGTGTCCTTGTGCTTTACTTAACGCAGCCCCCTTTCTTGAAACTGTAGTCGATGAAGCAGAATCCACTCGTACAGGTGGATTGCGATGAATGACTTGTCTTTGAGATAGATACGTCAGTTCCGCCGAAGAGTTTCGCATTGTACTTTGTTGCAGTGATTGCTGGGCTGCTTGCTCAGTCCTCAAGGTTTGATTGTCATCAACGTCACTGTCTTGTGCAGCTTCGATCTCCTTTTCTTTGTTAAAGATGCTCACAGGATCGTCGGTGGTCATGTTCATCTGTTCTTTTGGAACAAACACCTGTCGAATATTTCGTGGAATAATGTTCAGATAGCTCTTCCGTCTACCTGTCACTGGCGCATCAGTAGGTGTGAATACTGACACCTTGGACAGCAATATACCGACGCCAGCAACAAGTGCTGGCCCAATTTGCTCGACAAGTTCTCGGTGAAAATAACCCTCAACTTCACCTGTCGGATCCTGCACCACGACATAGCAGTACTAATAAATCATCCCGTCAGCTTTATTCAATCTCATACAAATTCCTACATGCAAGACAGCAACGATCTCCTCGTCAACATATCGCACAGACTTGAGAAGTACTAAAAGCTGCACACGGGCAACGGTGTTGTTAATGCATTTCCAACCATTGAAAACACCTACTTACCTGAGGAATTTTTGTGAGTGCCTCGTCACTTTCTACAATACTTCCAACAGAACACTTGAGACTGCTAATTCGGATGTTGCCTAGAGCGACAAACATGATCAACATCCAAGCAGTAGCAAGAGCTAATTTTTTAAAACTTTCCGTAAAGTGTCCCTGATACAGCAGGCATGCCTAAGTACTGGCACATATCCACCCAAGGACCGTGATCAAACACTGTCGCAATGTTCACGGAGTACCGATCTGAATTCGTGCGATGTCGACTATCTTCTCCTTGTGAATTCTTCAACCTGTCAGCTGCTGTCAATACACAAATTCTATAATTGTAGTAATCGTCAGCTTAGGACGCACTGCTCTGTGCGCTTCTTCATAACATCCTGCAGCGGTCCTGGTACGCGATGCATCCACTTGAGAATACTCGGCTGTGACTCCACGTCTATAAATCTGCCATTAGTTTCAAACCTACACAATGTTCCCCAATCACTAAGATGCATACTCCCTTCTTCTCGACGCGGCCGTTTGCCTCCGGAAGAGCTGTTTTCATTATCATTATTATTAAGTGCTCTCTTTTCGTTTCCGCTGCCCCTCATGTTACAATACAGATACACAGTTTATCACTAGCAGATAAAACTTTGCATACAAAAAGCATGTCGATTGAGTCGTGAAGGCCATTGACGTGCTACTTCTTCACAGGTACTGAAAAATACTTTGTTATTATATAACGTCGCTTAGTAACTAAGCCATCGTCTTGTTTAATGTTAAAGTATTTAGAACAGTGGCATAACGTTGCGATGGAAGAAGACAGTAAGACCCAGCAGTATGATGAATAGACGAAACCACAGAAATGGTGACATTCGCACATCTCGCCGCAATTTCATCTTTGCCAGATTTAATTCTTCAGTCTCTTTAGCTAAACACGGCGAACACGTAGGATTGAATCCGATAGGCACAACTAAGCGATCTACTGGTGCATCACACTTTTTGCAGCTTGCTATTTTCGGCACCTTGCCGCTCGCAATGTCGGCCTCCAGCTGTGCACGCTTTTTCTTTTCCTCTTTCTCAAGACGGGCGGCGACAATTTGGGGCCCACGAAATAGATGGAGGTACAGGAACAGAAGCGAGTTCATTGCTTGGTGGCGAAATGTATTCCAGACACGACAACATGACAAGTAGATAAAAATATTGGCCTATCAGGGTGTAAAAAGACTGATAGTTCAAAGTAGACAAGAAATCAATTGTACAGTGCAAGCTTAGAACTAGGAGTACGCAACGAGTAGAGCTCTGTTACTAATCAATGCCGATTCCGCTGTACAACTAATTTATAGTTTGCAAGATGGCACTTTGACAGTGCTTGGTAGAGGAGCATTGGAGTATACAAACGTTCAGTAATCAGACGCTCGTAATAAAAAGTATCACAGTTTAGCCACTGTAAAACAGGCGGTTATTTGAACTACCCAAAATGAGGTATAAGGACCATTTCTATCATCATGCCTGTGGCTCAGAAAATGTTGGTGGAGCTTGAAGACTGCCTGTTGAGCTGAAAAATTGCGCAGGATGCCGGATGAGATACATCTGGAGGTGAGCCAGTTAAAATTTACCCAGTCTTCTTGATGGTGGAAAATGCCGTCAATATTGAAGAAGTTTTGCTTGCTCCGGGGTGTGTGTGGTCAATTGTAACGGGGTTACATGAGAGTGACCCGTCACTCTCCCAAGGGAGCTGTGGTGTGGCACACCACATTACTAGATGGGTACATGGCTTGAGAGTCATGTAATAAGAAAACATTAAGGAACACCTATAAATATATTCAGTCTTAAAACTACCTAAATTTGGTGATGGGTACATGGTCACCCAATAGGAAAACATCTAGGATACTTTATAGGTGACTTGCAGTTAGTATGTAGGAAGACATTAAGGAACACCTATAAATATATTCAGTCTTAAAACTACCTAAATTTGGTTAACGTGTCCTCGGACCAAGGATCTGTGAACTGCCGTTCACTTAGAGTTTGTATACTCTGGAAGTCAAGCTGTCTCTGTGCAAGGTGCCGTGTGCCCCGTCACACTCCTTGAGCTAGATCCAGTTCGTTGGTAAAGAGCTGTGCATCGTCGTGAGACCCATAGTGGGGTGTCGCGCCACTTCCGCAATGAAAAATGGCCCGGAGTGCTGCGGAAGGGCCGTTTATGAGGGCTTTCTGAGCCATTTGATTTTCTGTGCAAGGGCGGCGCAGACGTTTGGTACTTAGTATAGTGAATATCAGGTGCTCGCGGCCCTAGTGTGGTCCACATCTTAATGGGAAAGGGTGTGACTGTAAATTTCCTAGCACATTTGGTAAATATACAATGTGCACGCAATACACTTTCTGTTACCAAAATCTTGGATGATAAAACTTCAAAAAGCAGCACGTAGGAAAATAAATTAGTTTCCTTATAATATAGATAGGAGTTTACTCACAGCATTTGAAAATTTGGCACAAAATAGACCTTTCTGAAAGCAAAAAGATATGGTTAAAAGCCATAGACCAAAGTTGTCGTAGTGAAACTACGTCACAACTTTACATTGTGAATGTGGTGCCCATCGATAGACTCGTTAGACAATAAAGTATAAAAAGTCAAATTTCTTGATAAGACATCGTTCACCTGTATACGTCGATGCCATCGCTTCAAATTACTCCATTCACAAAATCTTTAAAACTATACCCAATTCATCTGAGCATCTTGTGGCTCTTTACCTCGAAATGACGTGATGCGATGTCATCTCGATGCATTGACAGTGCTAAAGTATGGTTTTGAATTCAGTGCGGTTGTAAGTTTTTCGAAATTTTCAGGTGGACTTGAGCTACTCGATGCTTTAGATCCAGCATTTTATAGGCATTAATTTAAAACATTCCATTGTAAGGATTAAAGTGACTTGAACCCAAATTTGCTGTTATATTTTCAACTATCCAGTTTGTTGTGAAAATGAAGACAATGAAATTATTTTGCGGGAATTTGCCGACGTTAAGCCTGCAGCTGATCCAGTAATGCATTGTACTCCACACACTTTTCCGATAATACAAGCACCATCTGCTGGTACATTGTCAGCATTTTCTCGACTTTTTGATGAAATGCCAGAGCACGTTCACGCTGTTGATCGCTTAAAGCCTCGATCTGTGTCAACCGCATTTTCAGCTGGGCTTCTGGGGAGCGTAATTGATCCAACACACACGTTAGTTGCTGCAGCTGCTGAAGTTGGGTAGAGATTTCTTGCAGGTGGTCAGCTGAACTCAAAATGACTGCACGTTTTAGCTCATCGCCAGCTTTGGAACTGCTGTGTGTGAAAGTTATCACAGATGTGAGCTGCAAATGATCGACGTGCTCCTGATCTATCCACACGTTAACATTTAACAGATAAAATTTTATGTACGCGTAAACCTACAGAGTTCGCGGAGCTTAACAGACCCAGAAACGGCCGCTGAAAGCTGGTCTAGCTGATTCTGGAGTCTTTGCAGACGGTCAATGAGTGTATTTCTACCACACGGCGATGAGCCTACAACCTTTGCTTGCAGGAGCGCTACCCGGTTTTCGAGCACGTCCATTACTATCAACGTTGATTAATTTCAAATAGAATATCAGTATATATAAAAACATATATTCTGTGTAAAATTCTGTAATAAGTCCAAATCGTTATTAACAAATATGTCTGGGTGGTAATATATCTCCTACCTTTGAAAGTCTTAGGATCAGACTATACTGAAGCAAGAGAAGCGCTTGTCAAATAATTGATTGATACCAGCAAGCATTCTACTTTCGTTTTAAATTACAAATATGGCTCCATGTTTTCCAGCGATGTCTTGTTGTATGTTTCAAATGCCTGCTTTAAAGCACATCAAAATCAAGATCGACTCTGTGAACGTGTACATATTACTTGTTTTGATTAGATCGAAATAAAAGGGTATTAAATGTCATTATAACGTTACTCGCATAAGATATAAGCCAAATTAAGGCGGTCCGGCAGTTTCTGTATGGACGGCTCGAACGACAATTCATCATCACTTACAATGGTAACCCAATCATCTTCCCGAGGACGCTTCTTTATCGACCAGCTATGTGGCAATAAAGGCTCCTTGCTGCTACAGTCACGCAAGGTTGGTAGCTTTTCCTTTTCCAGAATCTCCATAACAGCAAGTTGTCTCCCGTCGCTTTCATCACCAATCAAATGATCTTTTGTAATTAAGGCACTAATTCTAGATTCATTAATGCTGCCATTAAAGCACCAACAAAATCGACTTCGGGCGCGTACGAAACAATTTTTCCATACTTATCAAAGCGAAATCGATTAACACATGGGTAAGCGACTTCCAGGCCAATAAGAGCCTGCGTTAATGCCTCATCGCCCAATACATGAGGAAATATCTCCTCCACTGTGCGGCGCGAGAAACGCACGCGCAATTCAGCTGTGATGGATACATCGAGGTGTTCTTCATCAAAGCAATTTTCTGTCGTCACAACAGGCGGATCAGTCACTTGGGATACACTTAACGACTTCATTGTCCACTCAATAGACGCATGGTACAAGGAGTATCGCTCCCATTGAAGCAGCAGTAGCTCTAATAAAATCACCAAATTGTACATTCTCGGCAGCAACCGCAGTCAAAAATCCTCGTTGGGCATTTGTTGCTTGCGCAACGAGTGCCGCCGATGCATTTTGCTCATCTATAGCCAGACGCACAGGTGTACCATGGCAAAACAACGAACAATACTCGCTCACAATCCGAGCTGCAGCACCCGATGGCGTGCGTTGTATTGAAAGCGTCAGCTCACGTTGCACTTGACGCGAAAATGTCAAAGCTGCGATCTCATTGCGTAACTCAGCAACATCCTTTGTAAGACGTGCGCCGTAGTACTTTCGTCTGCGTCGGTAGTACTTTCCACGCTCGCTATTGGACATGATCTTGAGATTGGGCGGTGGTGCATTAATATCTTTGGAATCACGATATCTGTACGCTGTGCTGTGCGCTCGGTGGGTACTCATGATAGCACAACTGAAAATGGACATTTATTTAATAATCGGCTGCTTTGTGAATTAGTAGTCATTCTTGATGTATAAGATGAATCAGTCACTGAGGTAATTTCGGCCTTAACCTTACCCTTCAGCCTTCAATTATAGACTATTAAAAGAAATAGCGACGCAATCTCACTGTCTAAGTAAGGAATTCAGTTGATTATAGTCTAATTACCAGCACGCTACGATGACTTCTCCGCCTACTGCTATCGCACCTACTGTTGCTAAGATATCTTATCGTTTTACGGGGGAGAAGTTCGTGGAATATGAGTGCAATACACAGGATTAAAGTTGACGACCACGATGGAATTCTGCTTACAAAATAGAATTGTTGAACATGATCTTTAGTACCAAGCTTGATGAGCACGACTTACATGTAGATTGCATTGCAAACAATATTATCAAGAAGCAAAATTTTTAGCTTACAATTCACTGGCAAGGCACATGCGAGCAACAAAACTCATTATACCAGCAAAAAGTGCAGGTCAGTGTATCTGTTTCATTTAGTCAGCGCAAAAAACGCATAAAGGATTTTGGGGTATCCCATGTGTAAATTAAATGGTTAAGATTTGCATGAAACAAGGGATAGGGTAATATAATTTTTGTGAATGCCGATGAAAAGTTAACTTATGCTGTTTACCAACATAACTATGTCGAGAGTATTTTAGAGCAAAGATGTTCTGTTCTAAGTTAACAGTTTAGCCAAGCATCAAAATCCTTATCGTGTAAGCAAAGGTACGCAGTTGAATCGAGCAAGTTCCTCATAACATCCACTGTCCCATCATTGTTAATTTTGCTCACCTTCTTCATCATCTAAACTTTTGTCATGCTCAAAAGGTTTCCATCCCAATTTTCATCACTAAACCTGCGAGCAACTGGCTCAAACTATCGTTTTCTACGGTCACGTCGATGAATTCTTCGCGCGTCTATATAGCCAATACCAATGCATGACCATAAGATCTCCATTTTGAGACCAGCGTGTTATACTTGTCGGCCTTTTCATGGTATAGTTGTGCCTTGCTGGCAAGACCTGCTCCCTCGTTTCTTTCATAAGAGTAAAGACAATATACAGCGCTTTTCACGTCTATTGCATTTATTAAGTGCAACCGTCGCCATGAAACTCCGTGATGGCAAACTCGAATAAACAAATTTACTGGGGCTTGCTAATATAAGCCGCTTGATTGAAATAATAGAACGCCCTGATGTAATGACCAGTAAATAAGCAAAGAGCTAGAGAGCACGATACCTCAAGCGGATCAAAGCAATACGAACTCGGTTCTTGGTACGCTGGGATGGACTCGAAGTCAACAGACGTATCACTTTACTTTTTTGTCGCTATTAAAGTACAGCTGCTTATTCTTGCTCAGGTAGATGGTTGTAGAGTGATCACACGCTACAAATATGTGCGCCGAATTCTTGGATTGATATGTTGATAGCAATGAAGGTTGTGAGCCTAGTGAGACACACTTTTGGGCTGCAAGCTATCCTTGGTTAAAGTAACGCGAAACATTCATTGAAAGTCATCGTCAAGTACGGCAAGTAGATAATCCTATAAATGTATTGCAAAGATCGTAGAAGCCGACCGATTCTATGATGTTTCGAAATCAATTGCTTTTGTGTCGGCAACTACAACACAGAAATCAAAAGTTCGTCCACCATCCAACAGCACATAAAGTGATGCTTGGCGCAGCCATAATCTGATGCAATGATGGATCTATCATCTTCACGTCACCACTATTTCCAGCAAGAGGAGTGACATCCGCAAACACGATGCATATTCCAACTTTCCCAAAAACTTCTCAATCACGTGCACATTTTGAAGTAGTGAGACCAAGAGCACACCATCAGATCTCGCGACAAGAATTTAATAGAATCTGCCGCACCAACCGGTATTTCTGGTCTGTCGAGTGGCACCTTATAAATCACTTCACAAATCACTGAACTTGTTTCGAAATAATACCCGCAAATGCTAAAGTATTCTCATTCTCCATGTCAACGTTGTCAGCAAACGCAACAACAGAAGTCTAGAACCACATATACTTGTCATGCTCGGCTTTAAATGTATTGTAACAAGCGCACAAGTCCTTGTTCCCATGAAACCAGCTCAGCTTGTTCAATGATTTCATTGTTGTTGCGAATTACACGCATAGCTCCTTCGCTATCGGCGCCACTGCATGTAATCAGCCATTGACATCGATAGTCGAGATTTAATTCTCAAAAGGCACTAATCGGTTCGTCATTCACGTACATAACTAGCACATCATAACACGATCCATCCTCGTCTCGACCAGCGTTCATTGACCTCAATAATTAGGTACTAAAGACACGACGCAATGTTTGACTCATTAAGAATCTTACGATGCGAGCCATATTTTTCTTGTTGATCGGTGTGAGATTTCTTTCAAATTGCTCTGGTATAGAAGATATCTTGACTGTCACTTGCATGAAAGATGGTACTTTTATGCTGTATCGTACAGTAACCGGCTGGTGCGATGTTATTGTACTTGCTTTTTTATGTGTAAAATAGCCTAAAGATGACCTTCTAAATCAGGCGTCCCTTACTATTTCACAATCAGAAACATCCAGACTTACTACACTATGTGGCACCATGATACGTATTTTTTAAACAGTACAAATTCTTTTTTTTAACAGAGATATTTAAATGGACTACGTGCTGGCTACAAAATCTCGTTTACATTTCTGTTTACCATATTTGATAGAAACAATACATTTATGAATTTTTACTTATCCTCCACATGTTCTTAGAACTCTCCAAAACGGAGTTCACATTGTCCTTATCAGTAACGTACTTTGGTACCTCCGACATTTTCCACACGCTTTTCACAAACTGTACAAGTTTGTGAGGTGGATGTACAACTGAACCGAGATGTGGGCTAGACTTGGGCTCACTCTCATGTTGCCTTAGATATCTTGACTTGCGGTCGAACAACATATTAGCTATATTAGCTGGATAAGACAAGAGTCTTTACGAAGAACGACCGTAGTGACTCTTTGAGTTCCGACCCGACACCTTCGTCCTAGACGAGAGACAACCGGCATAGTTGTGCACAAAAAAGGACGTATTCGATGCTTACAAATCGCACACTATGTATCCATTCCCAACTCACGACGACGTTAAGCGAGCTGTACTGATGACAATAGCGCTGAAGATTATTGTACTCAACTCACGCACCGAGCAAATAAGGTACGTCACATTACCGTTCATATAGTTTTGCATGCGAGCATCAGTGGAACAGACGTCCGGCTGGAACGTCGTTTTACGCTTGACTATGCAAAGTCTGAAGCACGACGTGGACGTCGAGGTAGAAAATTTATACCTCAATTTTTTTGTTAATAGTTAATCTCATCGCTAAGAGAGTTCTGGTAAATCCACCGACCATGGCTAAAGCGTATAGCAAATCCAGACAATCTCGCAAACTGAAAGCGTGCTATGATGGGTAGCTGTGCTGCTTCTTCAAACGAGGTAAAATTAACGGTTACATCAAGTTATACGCATCAACGGCGCCAGGGCAATCCTCCCGAAGTGAGATATCATTCTCCCATGAGTTATCAGAGTGAAGATGTAACTTGAGCTTTAACAGATACCGATTTCAGCCCAAAGAATCCGCCAGCCTATCGCTTCACATGAAAGTAGGCTAAACCTTTTTAGTGCTATGACCGCTAACGACCTAGTGCACCGTTGGCCTTTGTCTCTGTTGGATGAGGCGGGACCGCTCGTTGCATCGCTTTTAATACTAGTGGGTGGCGACCGTTCTTGCCGCTAGATAGCAATTTTTGGTTCTGTCTCATGGAAACGAACGGGGTCGTAACCAATTGGAGTAGGTGATGAGTTATTCCCTTCTAATTGTCGTCGGACTTTGTGCTTCGCAACCGCATGCATGATACGATGCTCTAGATATACGTCCGCGTTGCTAAAGCTGACTTTAGTGCCCTGAACAACAGTGCGCGAACTGAGTCTGATATTTATCAGCATTCTCGCCCGCTATAAGTTCCCTAGGTAAATCTTCAGCGTTTCGTGTCTAACCAAACTCTACTGCTCTAAGTGTAGAAATTTTGGCAAAAAAATGCCTCCACTCACGTACGGCTGCGCGCTGAACGTAATCCAACGGCGCTTCTTTACCAACCAAGATTTTTTTATGCTTTACAGAGCTAAAGGTGTTGATTTTCAATGTCAGGTCTGGTTTCTGTATCCTCAGGTATCAATGATTTTAGTTTACATTTAGCACGCGCACGACAGCCTACTGGGACTCGCCGTGCCTATGGGGATATGTAAAACGACCCTGCGTGAGAGCTTGACCGTTTGTAACTTTCTGTCGAGAAAAAATGAGGCAACCAGGGCGCAGAGCCTATTTTTCTCACGAATTTAATATCTGCAAAACTCATGGGGCTTCTTTGTAGCTAAGAGAGCTCACACTTTCACCACAGCGAGATTGAGGTCCATCATTCTAGCACGCTGGTAAAGCTGCCACCTCCCGTTTTCCCGCTGTCTTTTGTGGCACGGAAGGTGTAATCCGTATCAAATATGACACACATAGCATCGCAAACAGGGTCTATTAGACGCAGATGATCTCGGTGCATGCCGTACCTGCTTTGAGATCTTTCAAATAGATTAATTGTTACCGTTGCTAGAAAATGATTTGTCCTCATCGCGTTGAGAGGATCGCATATTTTGGGTACGGTTCGATTGATCCTGCCTTCTTCGCATTCAGTATGCCTGTTTAGGCGGTGAGAACTGCCGTTACATCTATCTCCCATGTCCGTAATGCCCCCTCCACAGAGGTACTGCTTTTAAAAGCTTAAATTAGCTTCGAGACTGCTACCGCGATACTCTTTGCTCAGTGTGAAGCATAGCTATATTCATGACCATTCATCTTTTCTCGCTCATAGGACAACTAGGTGTTTCCTGGTTGAGGCGCTTTCAGGTGTGTCTTGAAGATGTATAGTTGCCCTGAAAAGCAATCATTAATCACGAGCAACTCCAGCTTCATCCTCCCAGATAATACAGCCTAATTTATATCGCTTTTCGGATCCAGACAAGAGTTGACACGTGCAGCGGAGTTGCCGTGCGCCTTATATAGAAAAATCGTTGGCACAATGAATCTACCTTAGCGACGCAAGAGAGAAATTGCGAGTATGTCAATTATTCTATTTGTCCTTTCTCTATAAAAAAGTGATATGAAAGTGATGAAGTCAAATAAAAACTAACGCAAATTTACCTGCATTTTATGTTAGGAAATATATATTTGTACTGCGTGATGTGAGACTAACAGCCAGTATATCATACTTTCCCCTGTACTCTAAATCCCGAGGCTTCATCATCCTCATCACACGAGTACCTAGAAGCTTTGCACAAACGTATCATCTGTACGTATCATCTGTACGTATACCGTGGAACGGTATATAACTCGTGATATGCTCCCATGTTCCACGCCTGTGTGGCGCGCATGAATCTAATATCTATGAGGTCGTACACACGAAACCATAAAGTCAAACAGTTTTGTGTGTGAGGCACACAGCATCTGGTAGCGCATGTCTCTAATTACATGACCAAGTCTTAATATGACTGTGCTCTTTGTGAGGGTAGAATATGAGTTGCTTACCATTTATATTCGGAACAATAAGACACGCTCAACACGCTCAACACGATAGAGCTTCGCTTGTTCCGTGAACAAAAACAATTGGTGTTCCATGAGCTGCGATAGCTTTTATACATAATATAAAATTGCGCAGATTAATAAACAGCTATTTTTCAAGTGCCTTAAGCTGAGTTAGAAAGATCGCAGTAACTGTTGGTCACCGTCTCCAGATTTGCCTCATTGCAAGCCATCATAGATTCACAGTGTTGTACAATCATAATTGACGTACGACAGTCAAAACAGCAAACGGTACACGAAGGCATTGGAGAGGACAAACTGCGCCAATAGCTGCTTCATTATAAATATGAATCTAAGACACGATACTGACCCTATGTAAGGTATGGCTGAACTGCAATGGTGAGTCAATTAGAAGTATAAATTACAAGAAATATACACCTCTTTTCTAGTGGAGCTGTGTCAGGGCTTAGCGACCCTCAGACCTTTGCGTGGACTCCGACCCTTTGAACCTCCCAATGATGAGACAATTGAACACACATGGCACTAATGTTCGATACGACCACATATGTACGATCTGCGAAGACCATGATGCGCTAAAAGATCATTCTCTCCCTTTTTTTATCTTCGCCGAAGTCCATCACCTGTAGATCAATCCTAGCGTATCATCCCTCAAACCACAAATGGCCATTACGAACCGAATTTGTGCTCCTCATCCAATGTGATACCTAGAGCGGGTGCATTGCGTATCGTACTTGTAGACAGATCCTCGACATATAATGTTTCTCGAGTAAATTGCTAGTAGACCGTGTATACGATACGCGTAAGTTCAATTCGTGCTAGTGAGGATGAGTGGAAAGAAATATCTTGGGTACTCGAAGCTGGTGAGAGTAATACTAAGTATCATACTTAGTTCGCACACTGGGTGAGGAAAACGCTCTCTCACCCATCTGAAGGCTTTAGCCGAGCAAACTTCCACCGAAAGCGTCGTCCCATATTTGTATTCGAAAGAGGTTAAAACACGACGCGGATATCAAGGTAAAGAATTCATCACCTTCGGTTCCGGCTGTTTACAGCCCCGCTTGTCTTCATGCAAGAGCTGAAATTGCTATCGACCAGAGTTCATCCTCAACGGATGATCGGTCTCCACACAGAAATGGGAGCGCAGATCGATGGGTAACCCTGCTACTTATTTAATTGAGACAGATGTCAAGGGAGCGCCAGGTTGCACCAGGTAATCCTGCCTGAGTAAAACCTCAGACTCCTATGACTATTTTGATTATGTGTATCCCTCCCACTTCACCAGATACTAGTTACAGCTCGGATGTACCCGCCGGTCCAATATACGCAGTGCTGGCGGAGGTCGAACCTAGAAAATCTGGCTCCCATTAGGTCTTTCGGCTCTGGTGACACTTCGGCCCTCTCTGACAGTCTCCACGACAACTCAAAACAAGATGAGTCAGATATCGAATCCCATCTTAGATTTTAGCAATCGAATTACGGTGCTTGTGGCCTCTCCAGCGCTGAAGAATCGTGTCGCTCCTTTGGGGCAGAGGGGATCAGCGACAGTTAGTGTACATCGATTACATCTCAGCTCGTCACTATCAGATGTCTCGTAAGAGCACGAACCTGGTGAGGCTCTAACAAACCAACGTAGAACACACAATATGCTTAAATTGTTTAAGGGATAGCAAGATTACAACACATTCCCTTATTCGCTACGACGTGAGCGATTCCATGTAGTTGTGTCGCAACTTAGTCTTATGTACCACAGACACTACATGTGCAGTGTGTAACAATCATTAAATGAATGTGCCCACTACCTTTTAGTTTGTGGTTCGCTTGCCTCTAGCATCTCCGTGTTACTTGTGCTCATCTTGGCCATCTGCCACACCGTTGCGAACTGTACGCATGACGCTCAATTACATCGAGATAAAGGTACTGCTTTGGCTACAAAGTGTAGCTGTACTGATACCAGCAAATTAAATGTGTTCGACAACCATCCCCCAAGGTCGAAGCCACTTTCTGGTGGTTTCAATGGCACGCGGAGGTTTCCCAAATCATTACAGTGAAATAAGTAAACTTGGGAAGGCATACGCAGCATCAATAAATAAAATTTTAATGGGTAAGAGCTACTTGCTCAAGCAATATGACACTTTTGCAGCAAGTATATTAGAGGACACCTCCACCACGCTATCCACACGTTCTGTCTGACTATTGCTTCGCGGATCGTCAGCGGGTGACATTTTCAGTTCTTGTTCCGAGCACGTTGAATAATATTTGCCTCAATGTCGTTGTAAAACGCGAATCTCTAATCGATACAATGACTATCGGCTAGCCAATTTGGCTACCGCTTGGATCTATCCTCACCGGACAAATCATTGCTGGCAGTAGCGAGACGAGCCATTTTGGTCAGTCTGTCCACAAATATTGTATTGCCGATATTCGCACGTGACGTTTGTTCAGTCCATACTTATGGATTGTCAAGACTTTGTCGGAACCGACATGCTGACCAAAGGTGCCATCGCATGCGGCGAGGTATGGAGCCCGTTTGGCAGGTTGACGTGTGTGCATATTTGTTGTCCGAAGTTATATATATGGGCTACAAATACATAGCGCTCGAAGAGCAGTACCTCATTCTTCTCAAGTGGCTATCCAAAGCGCCTCAAACACTTTTTTATACTCTAGATCTTCATCATGCGGTACCACTGCACATTGTTTGTCGGTTGATTATTCCTGTAATCTTACACGCGTCGAGATAAAATGTAGCGGTAAAACGTGGAAGTGTGCGCTTCGATAAAGCGTCAACTGGAATTTCGGAATCCATGTAACCTAAGATTTACAGAAGTACAACATATATTGCGTATGTCCATACGTTGGACAGATCGCCTCATCAATCGGCAATCTAACTATATATTACAGCTCATAGTTGGGTACGTGAAAGCGCATCTTCCGCTACATAAAGTGACTCAGTTTATATCGCGACGGTATACTCGGCAAAAAGGTAACCATTCACATCTCTTAATTCTCTGCTCGTGATCTGATGTCGAGCAACGGCTCACGATCTGTGTCAATCACAATGCCTCAATGCCGGGCAGGCGTCTTCCGAGCGTGTCTCAAGCATGCATCATACCAAACTGCTTCTTATCAAGAACTGAATTACTCCTCTCTTTCGCTTCTAGATGAGTAACTCGGAGGCAACGAAGTTCATGTCCATCGGCATCTATTTAAACATTATATTGCAACGAACAAAGCAAAACAGATGACGTGCAATGGCGGATCAAAGTTTTGACAACTCAGAGATCAGTATGAGGCTGAAATTAACTACATTGAAGACCGCATTTTCCGCTGCACCCAACGCATACTAACACAGCTGAACATAAGATTTGTGAGGAGCTTTACAATATCAGTGGAACAAGCAGGCCACCTCCTTTAAACTCGATAGGACAGAGACACCGACCAAACCACCATGGCAATGATCATCGCAAGAATTGCAGCAGAACTTATTCGTGATTTAGCATACTCGTTAATGTTGTCAAACTGCTCATTTGAGCGCATCCACTCTAGCACTGCCCGCGAGCATTTGACACCCCATTTACCGTAAGACTAGTAAAGAATTTACCATCGGACTTGTTCTATGTGTGGCCGAATCAGCTGCGTGGCGGATGAACGGACAATATTGGTGCGTTAAATGGTACCTGGGCATTACCACCCACTTTAGAAGCATCCCGTGCAAAAAAGTAGAAATTGATGCAGCTGGTAATACACATTAGTCATACCGAGTGCACTGACCAAAGTCTAATTGACGATGCTGTTCCGCAGTATATATTTTTACAAAGATTCGCCGTATGAGGCAAATGATAGCTGCATTTTTATCATTTTTAAGCATGCACAATTTAAAATTTGCCGCATAAGACAGATGCAGAATTTTGACGCCGAGCGACGAGGTTTACACCCTTCGAACCTCATTCGGGCCTCCCACGAAAGATAGCGCCTATATCGTCACACTTGCACTTCGATAGGATCAATGACGTGTGAGGAAATAGTGAGAATTAGAAACTAAGTCATTAATTTCTTGTTTTTTTATCCGCGGGTTACATCTGAGGCATGTCTATCATGATCACCTCGTGATATTCCTTAGACAATCGACAAAAGCATTTATGGTATGTCAGGATAGACTATCCACTTCTCTTACTTGGTGCTCTACCATTGTCCTTAAAAATGGACTCCTCCATGTATTTTAAGCGCTTCTCTTTTACCGATCGTTCTATTTCACAGTGACACCGTCTTGCAAATCTTTGCAAATTACATTGAGGGATATATATTTCAAGCTCAAACAGCTAGGCCTTGTGTCGTCGAAGGTTTGTTGGACTTGAAGCGTCGCTAATTTCGTTCTCATCGAGCGACCTTTTTGAGCGCGTCGGTCGCAAAGATCGCGCTTTCTATGGGGGCTCGTTAAGTTCTTTGTCTGAGCTCACGGGAACAGTCCTGGTACAAGGATACTCTGTAAACCATAAAAATCCAGATATCATCTAGCTCGTAGAGTGCAGCACCTTAAAGATATAGAAGAAGTGTGAACCGAGTGTGGTCCACGTCTTAGTGGAAAAGGTTAGTATTGTAGCCTCGTAATACTACATTTAATATAGCACAATTGTACGATATTTACATTACACTCTTGTGAAATTGTGAATATTTATAAGTATCGAAGTTACAATAGTCCGTGGTAGACTTATGCTGCCGGTCGCATGTCAGACAACTAATACACTTTCTTAATGAATGAACGTAAGCGTGTATATATAGTGTGAGTCAATAAAATTAATTGTGTTTATATGTACCCTCGTGTCAGTAGAGGACTAGTCACGCTTAAAGCTCTCTATTCCGCTCCTGATTTGAGGGCACTAATCCAACCTCTGAGCTTGAGTAACGCGAATTCTTCATATCAAAGCTTCCTCTGTGCAACGGTCACAGCAACCCATCGCCTTCCTCACGCTGATACTTTGATACTTTGAACTTTCACTTTTGGTAATATTGTTAAATTGTTCAGGATTGTGTGGTGTAAGGTAATTAGCAATTTTACGAAGCACGCTATCACATGAAATACTCGACATTATGATTACACAGGACTCTGAAGGAGGTCAACGCTGCCTTGCGCAATACCATAATTCATCAAGCATTTCGATCACCAGTGCAGAAAATGTCTGGGTTACATAAAAAAATCATATACAGAACCAACATAGGTATGCAAATTGTGCAGAACAGCTTAGCATTGTCTGACAAAAGAGACTATTGTTGCTGACGCGCTTGTAAAAATCTCTGTGCTGTCAAGAAGTGAACTGAAAGCTTCGAGAGAAATTTAATATGCTTGGTACGAAGATACGTTCATTAATTGAAAATAACAGGAGGTGATCTCATTGAGCTCCTGTTACTTTATTAAATTTCTCGACCACAACTGCAGCATGCTGGTGATTCAATATGCTCGCTTAGTTTAAAAATACGACAGAATAGCATTATAAAAGGTAGTGGGGCGTGAACGTGAGCTCGCACTTAGTTCAGCACTGGGGTCGCTTTCAAGAACAAATATCATCGAAAGAAGTGATCAAGGTGTAATGGGTCCGTGGAAATTCGTCACGAGAACGTTACGCAAGACATCAGTGTGGTGAAGACATATCGACGCTAGTTTAGTTTGTGGAGATATTGCAGAAGACTTTAAACGTCAAGTAATACAATTGCTTGTCACAAGAGTGTCGTAGCATCATTCCAGTGCTTACCCATCAAAAAGGTGAAGTACATGAGAAATAAACATAAAAATAAGATATCCTACATTGTAAATATCGGTCTAGATGATAACGTTCCAGCATCTAAGAAGACATAATAGATTGAACACGTTACGTACATAGCCCTAAATCTTTGATCTAACGATTGCTCTGTATCGAGTAACCAATGCTCGTGTTGTCTGGCCTCGAAGGCTCCAAAAGGCAATTACTACTGCTGTTACAGAGATCTAGAAGATCTTTGCGTAGTGGTGGAAGATTGATTTTTGGTATCTCCTCCATTTGCATCCGTGGAGGCTCCTCAAGCAGGTCACCAATCATACATTCCTGCCGGACAAGCGCGCTCTCCATCAACACCATAATGTCGTCGCTGTTACCTAACAGATGCACAAAAGCTGTCGCAAAGTCGACATAAGAATCGTATCGATGAATTTTATAGTCATCGTCAAAGTATAGTGTGTTTCTCACGGAATACTTAATCTCCTTGCCGATAAGGCGCTGCACGAGCTGCTCATTCCAAAGCAAATGGGGGAAAATTTGTTCAATGGTCTGTCGAGTAATTCGCACATTCAGCGTCGTTTGTGCAACGACTACTATATTCGGATCTTGTGTCATAATATGCACAGTTTTGACCTCGCACTGAAATCCCGCATGATAAAGAGAGTATTTCTCCCACTGGCTTAACAGCTCGTGCACACCGTACGAGCTAGCAAATACGAGTTTTGGGTGCATGACTCCTTCAAGAAATGCGACTTGACGAGCTGAAAGTAGCGCATAATCTTGAGGAACATTCCGATTGTTACTTCCTAGTACACCATACTTAAAAAGGGCAAAATACTCGTTGACGACAGCTGCAACGGATGTTCCTATCGACTGCCACTTAAGAGGGTAAGCGACTGCAAGTCTTCGCTGTGACTGTTGCTGAGCTCGCTCATACAGTAATAGCTGGTCCACTTCTCGCTTGAGCTGATCCACTTGATCTTCAAGCGTTCGCACATAGTCTTTTCGACGCGAGCGATAAAGTTTGCCACGTTCACTATTAGAGAGTCGATGTGGGCACCTCTTGGTCACTAATTTGCCGTTCGCATTTGTACTGGCAGGTAAATGATGCTGCTTGGTGCTGACATTCTCATTTACGTAATGAACAGGGCTGAAGGGGGTTACAGATGAATCAGAACCACTGACGAACTCTTCTGAGTCTTTTTCGATGGCTGAGTTGCAGAGCGTCGAAATATCCATGCGGTAGTCGTGCCATGTCATCGTATAGAAGATCAAATGTCGAACTGATCAAGTCGCATCGAGAACAATGATCGTCATCTAAGCTCATCGCAGAATACAGTATTTATGTTCCATTTCTTCTGAATCTTAGGAGGATTTTATTGTAATTTGGACTGTCTTGTTCGGCGAAGGTTCGGCATACAACTTGCAGGTTGTAAATAGTGGGATGTTATTTCAACTATACAAATGTTAAGTGGTGAAGTTTTCTGTAGACGTAAGGATACAAACGCAGACTTTTTTGACAGTATTATCTGGCAAGAAGTGATCATATGCTGGTGGTTTGGTCTACGACTGGTTCTTGCTTTGACATGCTGAACATAAGAATGTCTAAATAGTGTTTGCTCACGACATAAAGACACAATTGACTAAGCGAGGGATGGCAAATGCAGTTTTATATATACTCGCGGATGTGATGTCGCGGTATTGCCGTCTTCCCTCCGACTTTTTCTTAGTAGGGACCAAACAACCTGCTAAAGTCATGGAAGAGGACCTAGCGTGCGATTACACAAACGTTAAGTCAGAAGAAAGCATCGAATAGTATTTAAGACTATCGATGCTTCTCAGAAACTATAGCTGTAGAGAACCAAAAGTTGGTCCAGTAAATTTTCAGAAGTGTCAGGATAACATTCACCTGCTCTATTTCCACCAAGAACGATTCTTCTATTCTTCTAGATATTATTCGTACCTCTCCATATCGACCACACTAATTGTTGCCGCGACCTGCAGTACTCCTCATCAGTTATCGCCACGATGAAAATTGAATCTCAACACGCAAGATCGTTCTTTTGATGCAACGCACAGCAGCTTTCGATATCTTCTCCAATGATTGTAAAGTGGTTTTTGTAGCCTGTCTGTAACATGAGTCCGTAGAAAAAGTACCACCAGAACGTGACAAACCCGATAGAATCACACAATCGTAAATTTATCGCAATCTGTATTTTGAAGGCATGGCTATACAAATAATTGGCCATATAGTCACCTTATCAGCCCGCGTCCATAATTTTTTTCGTGGCTTTTTTAGTTGTTGAGCTAAGATTTCTGTAAAACGTCGTTGCTCAAATATATTATTGTCTGCATTTAATTAAACCTTTGGTCTTTGACATTGCCTTCAAGCGCATCGGTTTTGATGCTTTAGAAGCTGTCGGCTCACTCATATCAGCCCGGTCACACTTCGTAGTAAAGTTCGTAATTTATGATTTCAATAAGATTCAGCGTCATTAGCCAATTGGCGACGCTATGAGTGAAAGCCAGGATACTGAAACCAACATGTCGAAACCAGAGTCATGCAAAACTCACATGAATTTGAAGCGACCAAAAGTTTTTCAAACGCTGTAAGCCTACTGACAGATGCAGTGTCTGCGGTCCTCAAGACTAAGCTGCATTCTTGCTGTATCGAAGTGTGCATTGTTCTGGCAAAAATGGGATCGAAGTGCACTCTTATCAACCCAAAGAAGATGCGAACATATCCTGTGTTTTATGCGAGCGTGCCAAAGCCATATCACGACTTTATCATACGAGCCAGTCTGTCAAATGTGAAGCTCTTCACCTCGACATCGGCTTTGCGCAGTTTTCTTTGCAAGGTCACGCATGAGACGACGTAAGCGATTTACGTTCGCCTCAATGAAGATGGCTCTAAAGCATTGAGATGGGTGAGAAGGAATGCTTTCTCACCCAGTGCGCGATCTCAGTCATGGACTTAGCGGCACTTGCCCCATTATCAAGTACTTAAGGTACATCCCTCATGGAGGGTACGGATTTACCCAACCGCTGCTGTCCCAAGTGCTGACGATTCTCAATGACCTGATAGTTTTGAAAGTGCTCGCGGTGCGATATTATCGCGCTCGATCCGTATATACATTTTATTTATTATGGTGCGTTAATATATGAACTCATGGAAACCAGATCTGATCAGACAACTAGTCTTTGATATCGCTCTTGGTACGAATGCACGAACCCAAGCTCTGTGCATTTTTCAGCGGAAACTCATGAGCAAAACGCTTCTTCACATTTCACGGCAGCAACCCCATGGTGTACTCTGCATCGAGGCTGCCCAGTATTTTGCAAAGAAGAAGCTTTTGCTCGAGATCTTGCATGTGCACCGTACAGATCGTACAATCTACTTGTGTTGCTCAATTTTATAAGTGACATATATTTAACATTTATTTAGTTTGAGCTATAATGGAATTAATGTGTCACGCTGTGTCCAATAATACTTTATTTAGTTTGTTGTGAGACTAATATCCCACGTGTATCACGGACCGTTCCAAACGCATTCCTATCATATTTATTAGTACCTAGATTACTGCTGAGACTTCACAGCTTTACAAAGATGTAACGTCAATGTCGTACATATGTACAGAAGTGTAAGGTGCGCGGACAGCTTATATCCCAATGGAACGCATTAGGTTCACACTTCTCCTGTTTTTTGGAAACATTGTGCAGAAATTAAAGCTCAGCAAGCAATTGATGCAATTGGAAATTTACTTCATTTCTTGCGCCTACATTGCCTTCTCCTAAGAGCATAACGCTTCATTACATCCCATCACATGGCCTAGTAAGCCTCGGAAAAAGCCGAATTTCTAGCAACCGACGCCCTCAGAGCCATTCGCAGTGAAGCGGTGAGGCCAGGATTCGTAAGAACGATCATATTGACTCTACGAGTCCTACTTCATGCCACCATTGTCACCGAAAGCCATACGGCAATTTCGTCCACTGAGGACGACCATTGTCTTCACTCCGTCTCTACTCTAGCACGGATTACACACCTTGTGCCCTATCCTGAAGTAAGTATTATATTCCGCCACAAAAGTCAAGACAACACTCAGCTCGATACTCATAGATTAAACTTGGCTCAGATAGCCCATCTCAACGCTTGACGATTTCACCACGCCATAATTATGCATTCAGTTCATTCAATTTTCACGCCGCGCCGGTTTGGAGCATACGCCTTTCAGAGCGGGTTTTCAATCATTTGAAAGTTAAAAAAGCGTCTGAAAGTCCATTAGCAAGCGCTTTCTAAGACCACTCCCCACAGAACTACAAATGTTCTCAGCTACAGTGGTCTGGGGAGACCCATACTCTCCATAAGATCTACCGAACAGGCGAGAGTTCGCGAGGATTTCATACTTAATCTGCACTTGGAGTGAGCAACATGCGTGACCTCGCCCGTCTGGCATATCGTTGAGCTAGCGTCAGTTAAGCAGACGTTCAAATAGAGCGTAGTTTCATGCTTTACTGTGTGAAGTACAGAGTACGTCGTAAATACCAGGATGAAAACTTATCATCTCCTGTAATTGCTACTAACAGCCCCGCTAGTCTTTCTGAGACTGCAGTCACAGGTTTCATCAAGTCTCGAACCTGCAAAAAGTTCGGTTCTCGCTTATACACAAACCCTTATGGCTGGGTGATTCTTCGACTAATATAGGAATAAAAGACCGAGGGTGTACCAGCTATTAAGCGATAACCGCAACAGAGCTATCTTGCTGCACTGGGGGCTCAAACATCCATTGGCGTTCGGATGATGATATCCTTTCTACTTTATCAGACACTACCGCTGTGCGGAAGACCTCGAGGGTTTGGAGCACTTTGTGCATCGACTGCCTCACGTTGAGGACTACCGCCACAACCGAGCAAATGCGTCACTTTGTGCTACGTTAAAGCGCCTGTTGCCGTTCGAAACGGTGGTCGATTAGCTAATCGTTCCACGTAGAAGCAGAGCTGACTTGATACCGCCGGCGGTCGACGATCCTCCCGCGGCTGGCTCTCGCTAGCTCACAATGTTGTGGCGACACGTCGTCTCTCTTAGAGAGTCACGGCATGCGGCAAAACTGTGATGTCTCATTGTTTATGTGAATTTTCTAAGAAACGCCACCCCTCAACGACCGGGAATTATATCGTGGATTTACAAAGAGGGTAGCTCAGCAGTGGGGTACGGTGCAGACGCGTCACCGTCTCCAATAGAGCCGTCCGACCTTACCACGCATGGCAGGCAGCGACTGCTTTGATAATTGAGCAGCGTCTCTGTGAGTTATGTACCACTCCACATTCATTCCGCAAACCATGCTCGGGACTCCTGTCTGATACACCTTCAGTGTTTGGCAAATCGGATATGCCGATCTTCAGCACATTTATCGTCCCGGTCCAGCGCCCGCGCCAAAAGCTTATCTGCCGTCTAGTAGAGGTGGTTTTGACTCACCAAAACTTCACCAGGAGTCGTGCGCTCAGCGCCCAATGAATTTGACCCCCAATCGATCCATGGCTAATGATGTTCCAATAATGCCATACCAAGAAATGAGGTCATATTTTGAATCCAAGTCTGTTTATAAGCAATATATCACGCTATCAAAATCAAGAAACTTTACATTGAGGCCCACAGGGACCCTCGGCGCAAAGCGAACATTGACGATGTTAATCGCGCTTTCAGCGCCTCGTCATACAGCTGACCTCCTTCGATCGTGGGGCGTCGAGTAAAATTGTTCGACGCCCCAGAGTCGATCAGGACCTTCCATGGCATCTAAACGTACTTCAAGGTCGCTTCCACGACGAGCAAACCAGGCTTGCATATACTATCTGTATTCAGGAGCACGAATCTTCAGGGCAGGTCCCTGCTGACTTCTAATTACTTGAGACTCAACAGAACTCAATTCTTCCCCAATAGGACGCCTCGGGCCTAATGAGTGCTGTCGTTTCCCCGCGACAAACCAGAAGACTGGTAAGAAGTAGAACGTCGGTTCGATGAACCTTGACTCGCCTAGCGCAGGGATAAACCAGTCCGAAGGTGATGGGTGTCTCCACAAACAAAATATTGTCGGGTGTTTACACGCTGCTTAGCAGCTCGGAGTTCTCTCTCCTTGTCCTCAGCATAGTTGAGATCCATCGGCTCAGGGCAAGGGTGTGCAGTTCAACATAGTCGTGCCGACTAAAGACTAAATTCGGCATTGAATGCCACAATCATCGCTTCTTTATAAGAAGACAGATACACA